ACAATCATAGTTGGAGATCTAAATACCTCTCTAGTAATTCCAGATAGATCATCGAGGCAAAAAACCAAAAAGGACATCCAGAACCTTTACTTCATGCTTGATGAAATAGATTTAACATACATTTGCAGAACATTCCAACCAACATCAAAAGAGTATGCATTCTACTCAACAGCACATGGAACATACTTCAAGATCAATCATATTCTTGGACATAATCAAGCATGAAAAAGTTTCAAAATATTGAAATAATACCATGCATCTTCTCCGATCACAGTGGAATTAAAAATAAATATTGCCACCAACAATATCCCTCCAAAACACACAAAGACATGAACACTAAACAACATGCTACTGAACAACTTCTGGGTCAATATGAAACTCAATATAGAAATTAAAAAATTCCTGGAAACAAACAAAAATAAAGACACATCAGAACCTCTGGGATACCATGATAGTAGTATTAAGAGAAAAATTCCATAGCATTGCACATACACATCAAGAAAATGGAAAGATCACAAGTAAACACCCTAACATCACGCCTAAAGGAGCTAGAAAGGTAAGATTGTCAAAATTCTAACTTCGGTAGAAGAATCTGGATTCTCTCAATTGCAGGATATGAAAGACAAAAATCTCATAGAAAGGATCAATAAGACAAAAAGCTGGTTCTTTGATGAATAAATGAGACTGATGGGCCCCTAGCCAGCTTGACTTAAAAAAAGAGAAAGTCAAATAAGACTTTGGAAATACAAAAGGCAAAGTCACAACTGACCATGGAGAAATTAAAAAGATTATTAGGGATTACTATGAACACTTCCCATACCATCCACCCCTGCTCTTGGTTTTGTCCATCCTAATCTCAACATGCTCTCAGATATCTTGCTGCTTCCATTATCTTAGACTGGCAGTGTCAGCTATAGCACCTTTTCAAGATGCCTACAGAATGAGCCTATCTCATGCACACAGATTCATGTGGACTAAAGAGTGGTCACATTAATTACCAGATCCACCTTCACCATGAAACCTCAGGCAATTGCAAAGTTCTCCTCCTCCAGGTACTTCCGGAATTCCACAGGGGTGACTTACATCAGCTCACATATTAATCCTGGCTGATACTCCCTAAAGCTTCAGGTGTGATGTTATCACTGCTAACATCCCTGTTACCTCACTAAATATCAACTCTAGAGTGATTTTCTCATCAGTTCCACATTGGGTCCTTGGGAAGTAAGTGATGCCGGTCCCCCTCAGCTCTATAGTACTTCCCACTTCAACACACACATCCACAACCGCATGCACGCATACATATACACAGACAACCATATACACAGACACACACATACACATCCATGTGCAAATACGCACAACCATACACACACATCCATGCACATACACAATCATATGCACAGACACACACATTCACACATACACACACACACACACACACACACACACACACACACACACACAACACACCATGCTTTTGCAAAGTGAGAAGGCAAATCCTTCTTCCCTCTGTATTCTATTCTGTCTGGAAGAAAAGAAGAGGTCCCACAACAGGTGTGCTTGGGAACCTGAATTTCACTGTTTAATAAGAGTATGCTTTCACTATACACATGGGAGTTTTTGTTTGTTGTTACTTGTTTTTGCTTTTCTCTAAGATGCATGTCAACTGTCAGGCTCTCTAGATCTGATGAGTTTTTAAATAGTAGTCTCTGTACCAGACAATCTTTGGCCTCTTAGTAAAGGGCCCCATCTGCTTTTGCAATCTGAATTCTTTTATCACCCCATGTCCACCACCACAACAAAGCCTTGCCACGTCAGGATGAGAAGCAATCACTCCTTTCCTCTCGCCATATAAAGCAGTAGTTATAGATGAGTAGTTTAAGTGACACACCCACGACATGTGAGTCCCAACTGGTGTTGTATTTCAATTTATTTATTTATTTATTTATTTACTTACTTACTTACTTTATTTTTTGAGTTGGAGTCTCACTCTGTCGCCCAGACTGGAGTGCAGTGGCCACTCCCAGCCACTGCAGCCTCGACCTGCCTGGGCTCCGGCGATCCTTCCACCTTAGCTTTCCAAGTAGGTGGAACTACAGGCACGCGCTACCACACCCAGCTAATTTTTGATTTATTGTAGAGATGAGGTCTTGCCAAGTTGCACAGGTGGGTCTCCAACCCGCAGGCTCAGGCAATCCACTCACCTCAGCCTCCCAAAGTGCTGGGATTACAGGCTGAGCCACCAAGCCCGGCTGCATTTCCATTTAAACACCTTGTGTTTTAGAATTATCAGTTCACCGTTAAAATAACAAGTACGGATACATCAAGAAATCTTTCCATTTTCTTGATGTTCACCATTAAAATAAAAAGTAAGAATAGATAATTTTCTCAATAAATATATAAAATGAATCACAAGAAAAGGAAAATATTAATTACCAGGCACTTGTACACATCTTGTTAATTCCCTTCACAACCATAAGAGGTTCAAATTATTTAGTCCTATTTTACATGGAGGTTTAAGTTCATATAAGTATCAGAATCAAGGTTGAAAGCCATGAGTTCTAATACTGAAAATGAAGGTTTTTTTCTGCTTTTGATGCTGCCTTTCCTGTTCAGGGAACTTTGGACACAGTGAATCTAAGAATATCACAAACTTGAGAATGGGCATGAGAATTTTTTCTCACTGTAGTGCCTCCTGCTACTTAATCAGCACCTACTTTGTGCTAGATTCTTAAGGATGACTCATCTCATCCCCCAAAAACTACAAAGAAGTAGATTCAATTTCCCCTGAATTACATATGAGGAAACTAAGGTCAGAGAAGTTAATTGACGTGCCTATGTTTTGACACCTTGTGAGTGGCAAAGCCAGGGTTCAGACAGAGGTCTAATTCCAGCTCAGCCTCCTTTTCCCATAGAAATCTGTCATGTGTTCATGCATCTCTACGTGATTTCTCTCACAATTATTTAGACAGTCACTTTAGGTTGAATTTCACATAATTTAAGACATACAGATTAGAAGAAATAGGGTCATATATTTCATTACTGGAAGTGAGTAATGGTCCCACTTACGGAACACCTGAATGCTCGTGAATGTATTTACGCTCTCCTGATATTGACACATGGTGAAAATGCAGGCTTGAGTCCTACTCTTATCAGGCTCCTAGATGCTTATGCAGGCCTTTTGCATGATAGCCTCACAACAGTATAGCAGGCTCCAGTCTACCCTGTTCAGAATGAGGCTATAAGAAATAGCCTCATATCCTACAGAAATCCATGTACCCATTCTTGAAAACCTGGGACAAATTGAAACACATACAATGGCATTATATGATGCAAAAAATTAATGAAAATGATGACCTGCTAATGTATCAGAATAGACATCTGAACAATAATTGTTTTTAGAAAAGATTGTGTGCAAGGGCAGAGCCATGCATCTTTTGCCACCTCTATGTCCCTTGAGAGTCCTGTCTTCATAAAGATGCAAAGCAGTGGTAACACAAGTGAAAAGATGAAGCCCAACTCTTGGGATCCACCACCTTCAGAGCTGTATTAGCTGCCTATTACTGCTGCAGAAAATTACCACAAACTGGTAGCTTGTAACAACAGAAATGTATTGTCTCACAGTTCTGGTGGCCAGAGATCTGAAATCAAGGTTGGTATCAGGGTTGGTTCCTTCCTGAGGCTCTGGGGGAGAATCCATTCCATGTCTCTCTCCTGGCTTCTGGTGACTGTGGCAATCCTTTGTGTTCCTCTGCTTGTAGATGTGTCCCTCCAATCTCTACCTCCTTCTTCACGTGGAGTGTCTGTGCCTCCTGTCTCTCTCTCCTTTCTTTCAAAAGGGCCCCCATCATTGGATTGAAAATCCACCCTAAATCCAGAATGATCCCATCTGGGGATCCTTGACTTAAATATACCTGAAAAGACCCTGTTTTAGAATTAGGTCACATTCATGAATACAAGGGGGTTGGGAGAAGGACTCGTCTATATTTTTGGAAAACAAAATTCAGCCCACTACTGGAGCCATCTAGGTGGCTATGTTAGGAAAAGCTGTACTTGCTAATTCGGGTCACTTACTTGAGAAAGCTCAAAATAGACATAAACTTAATGTGCCAAGGATATTTAGATTTAAGTGGCACAAAGGAGGAATTAAACACTGTTATAGAATTTTCATACTCCAAATTAGAGAATATTATCCCCCACGCCCCAAGAAAGCTATTTCTCTCGCTTCTGATGTTGGAAAGAATATTCCACTTGTGACCTGTTGCTATAAAAGATATAATTGAAAATAGTATTTTTCACCCACTGATTTTTCTTTCCTCCTTAACCTGAATCAGCTTACCTTTCACAAAAAGCAACACACACACACACACACACACACACACACACACATACACACACAACTAGAACTAGATGTGTCACTCCAATCTCCAATGTGAGATTCTTATATTTTTATCACTTCCTTCTTTGGTGAATTAGAGCACATAAATACTGTACTATACATAAATAGATACAGAAATCAGATTGTCTCTGAAGTGAAGGCAATCCAAGGGCTAAAGACTCTGTGTGGCACACATCATAGCAGTTAGAACGCCCAGGTTAAGTTTTTTAAGTGACAACATCAGAAACACTAGAATATTCCCACAGTAAATACAGTGCTTATGCAAACAAGTCCAAGCAGACTTAATTTTATCCAAGTAAGTTTATGCTGGTTCCAGGATTTATGACAGATAGTTCATAATATGCTAGAAATGAGCACTCTGCGTATGAAATAAAATCAGATAAAGCGAAACTAAATTGTGTAAGGTTGGGTATCGACAAGGAATGTAAACTCACCTGGAAAAGTATGTATGAAAAATTAGTAAAAAGGCTCAATTAAGTCATAAATCATGTTCTAGGGAGGGAGTACTGAAAAGCAAAAACAGTAGACGATGTGTAGGACTAACATTTCAACTTGCCATTTTAAAAAGACTAACATTCCTTGGCAGACTTTTAATGCTGACCTGTTCTAATGGAGAACTTCCAAGCAGAATTATGTCTTTCTGAGCATATCTTTCAAACTCTTCCACATAAGCAGAGGGCGCTTTGTCGGCCTGTTTGTGGATTTCATGATTCTCACTGGGACTTACGGGTGCTTCAGAATCCAAAGTCTCCTCCTGGACACACTCATCTGTTCACACCAAGAAGATCACATGAAATTCCATTTGCCTTTGTCATTTTAATGTTGGCTATACACACAGCAGACTAACCACTGATTTCCTTATTTGCGATAAATTTTGGTTTCTCATAATCTACAATTTAGCAAATGATTTTCTGTTTAGTGTACTGGGAAATTACTAAAACACAGAAGAAGTTTTAAGATTAAAAAACAACTACTACCAACCTTGTTCATTCCGTAATGTTTACAAAGTGAGCAAAGTACAGCTGTGCTTTAAAGCCTTTTTCCCACTTAACAAATGTATCTTGAAGTATGGACACTATGCTTTTCCGTGTGTTAATATTACATGTTGTTTACTTCGACATCTTACCACTTACTCACTATGTTGCTGAAATCTGCTTGGGAGACGAATAGGTTTGGAAGCTAGAGCTCTTTGGTTCATTTTCCCACGTTAGGATCCACGAGAACAGTTCCCAAGCTCTGCACACAGAGGCACTTTTTATTTGGGCTACCTTGCTTATTTGGGTAGAAATGCCAGCATTTATATAAATGGTATGTGTACGTTGCTTCTCTATCAACTGGAAACAGTATCATCTCCAAAATGTATCTATTCATCTAGCCAGATGCATGATGTAAACATAAAATAACCCTTCCTTTCTAGTCTCTAAAAACGCTGAAAGGTATAATATGGAATTTTCCATCTCTCCAATACTCAAATTTTAACAAAAATCATTGGAAGAGAACTTCTTTTGCAGGAGGGAAATGAGGGGGGGAACTAGGGGGAGAACTGAGCTATAGTGTCCAGAGAGCCACTGGCCTTTTTCTTTGCTTGTTGATTATTCTGTAAAAGGCTTTAAGGTTTCTAAGTCTCAGTTATACTCTCACACATAAAATAGTTGATAAAGTGCCTGGTTATTTTATCAATTCTGTGAGACTTTTTAAAGCCCATCCATGGTCTTAGAAGACCTATTAGGTGATCTCAGCACTACTCCAAGACAGATGTTATGTGTCCATTTGGCAGAAATGGCAAAGAAAGGTTAATAAATTGGCCCAAGGTCAGACAACTAGTAAATGATGAATCCCAAGCATAAGGTTAATAGAGATAAGAACTATTAGAGACTTAATCATGATCAGCCCTCTACTCTCAGATACTTTAAGGAGTTATTTTAATGAGGAAAACAATATGATTGATTGAGAAGTACTAAGCATACTGTGGAAAAAAATTAATAGACCTATTTCCCATAAAATCAAATATATGTGTATAAAGCAATGTATATTTAATGCTTTGGCAAAAACTACAATATGGTTTTAGCATGATTTTATATGTGCAAAATTAAGAGTTTAAATTTTTGTTTTTAAAAACATATCTTTAAATTGCAAGTTTGGTACATATAATAATTTCTTACTTAAAAAAAAACTAACATTTTCAAGTATGAATTCCCATGCTAAGGTTAAAAACAATACAAAACTTGTCTTTCACCACTCCAAAGCATTTGCTTAAAAGCTAAAAAACAGTCTTTAAAAAAGAGTAGCCTAAAGTCTCACAAATTAGAGACTTCAAATATACCATATGCCACTTTAAGATCCTTCAATAGTAAATCTTAAATTATTTTTGCCATTTAGGGTTATAAATTGTATGCAATTATAGAAAATTGGGCCATAATTACTTTTCCTTCAAGTTTTAGCTACATTTAAATATCTACAACGATCAAAAGCACACATGGGTTATCAATGAATGGTTATATTTAGAAAAGATAGGTTAGCATTTGCAAGAAACCATGCCAATCAATTTACAACTAATGTTAATATAAAAGATTGAGAATAATTGGTCTCTTACCTTGGGGTTCTCCTTGTCCACTCTCATCAAACAGCTTCATTAATTGATTATAGAGAAATCTATCATCACCTTGTAGGAGTGTAAAAAGAACGTGTTCATGATGACTCTCTTATCAACTAATTTATAGATATGCTGATGTAATTACAAAAAGAAATTATTAATCATCATGGCTCTTTAGGTTATATTATGGGTCATAGACACAAATTCTACTCAATATGCTGCCTTGTTCTGAAAAAAATCATTTTGTAAATCAATGATAATTGGAACAATGACGTTTAAATATATATTGCAAGACATGCATAATAGAATACTTCTCCAATAAAAAGGATCTCACATTCAACAGATTATAATATATATTACTTGAAGATTATTTCGGAACAAGTCATTATGGCTTGTCAAATCAGACAGTAGAATACATGTATTTAATCAAAATGAAAGTTTTCCAATAGCTACTTTCTATACATTATATTTTTTACTAAGTATATATTAAAAACAACAAACTTAGATGGTCCTGGATTCTTTTATATATGCTATTTCAATATAATAGCAGATATAAAAACTTTTTGGTTCTTTTATGAATTCAAAGCAAAAAGACCTTTTCATTACCCCTCCCCCAAGAACTAATTCTAGAAATGTGTTTCTGAAAGAGGATTAAAAGGTCATCTAGGTGGCCCTCCTGCCACCACACAGAACCAAGCATGAATGATGCAAGTTATATGATCACCTGAAGCTTAGAATTAGGGTGTGCATACATACAACAATATATCAAATATGTTTCCCATCCCACGGGAGTTAACAAAACTGTGGTTGCACTTTTACGGTGCTGGTTTTACTATGACCCTTGTATTTCATTAATTATCATTTTGCTGCTCGTGGGTGGGACAGTTCTGAAGATGATAGTTAATTCTGCAACTCACATCTGAAATCCCACCAAGTATTCCAGAAAAGCCTTCTGGAATTCTCATTCTCCAAGTTAAAAGTTCCTGAAAATTCTAGGTTTCACCTTTCTCTCCCCATACCTGAGATCCCTTGACCATCACTGATGGAAAAATCTAATGTCATCTATTCTATATCCATGGGCCTGGAATGACTAAACAAGAAAGCCTAGGTTGCTGGGGTGAATAGAATATTTGAAAGAGTGACAGAATCTGTGAAGTGAATAGTATCTACTCATTGTACCCTGCTACTTTGTTAAAACCAAGTAACTTGCAAATATCCTTTTCCTTTCAAGAGCCAGTACAGATCTCCTATCCCCCAGCCACACACACACACACACACACACACACACACACACACACACACACTAAAAGAAAGGGGATAATTACTCCTGAAAGATGTTTTGAAAAATTATGCATTCAGGAAGCATGAACCTTTATTCCAGCTTTGTTTGAAACTGTATAACTCTTAGAAGGACAGCTAGAAAACTAAAAAAATGTTTATGTGGCTTATAAAAGAATCTTATTTGGAAGTTAACAAAAGGCAATAACAAATGCATAGATGGGGAATCCTCTGCAGATATTGTAAAAACCCCAAAGGGATTAATACAGAGATATCATCTTCTGGAGAGAGGCAGCATAGCACAGGTTTGGTATCAGCCAAATCTATATCCAAATCGCAGCACCGTAACTTCCTAACTCCCTAAACAGGGGTAGTTTCTTAGTGGTTCTGAACTTTAATCTCCTTGCCCATAAAATTGGATGACTTGAGGGTGAGGAAGATCATACACATCAAGCACCTAGCCACATGCTTGATGCATGTGTGCACAAAGTTTCTAAGGGCACACATGCATCAAGCATGTAGCTTTATGTGGTTGTTCGTTAATTACTTAGAAATTGTATGAGGTGCCTAACTTTTCATAAGTTTGGGTTCTGCAGTCCTGCACTAATATTTTTTGTCTCCTCCATGAAGTAATGAGTTATAAACAACTTTGGGGACTGTATGAGAGGAACCTGAATGGGACAGGTCTAACCAACAATTGCTGTATAAGTTCTGGTTCTTTGAGAAGGCACCCCTCAATGATGCCCCCAGTAGATTCATTCCTGGACAGTCAAACGGGGTTATGTAGCAGAAACAGAGGACAAGAGAATATCCTTTCAAAATAAAATTGACTAGTTCTTCTCAAAGGGAAGAGTGGAGAGAGCCAACAGATCAAACCAACTACTGAGGGGAAAGTATAGACTGTGCCAAAGACAGGCAGGAGTCTGAATTCCACTCCACTCTTGCCCTATCAATGTGATCCTAGCAAAGATACTAAATCTCTCTAAACTTACCTATTCATCTTCAAAATGGGAATGCTAATGTTTACTTTGGAGGGTTTTGTGTTGGTTGGTCTGTTACTGTAGTTAACCCTACATTCTCCTCGAGCACTCAGGATATAATAATTAATGTTTACAGAAAGTTTGCCATGTGTCAGACACTATGTTTAGTGTTTAAATTCATGTACTTGTTTATTCATTAATTCAAAAAATATTTATTGAGCACCAACTGCTCTACACCAACTGCTGTGCTAGGCTCTAAGAATTCACTGATGAACAAAGGAGACATAATCTGAGTCATCTTTGCATAGAGGAGATGCTTTATAGGGGAGAAACACATTTCACAAATAGTTGCACTAATAAATAGTTTGCTGACCATTGTGATGAGTTCTTCCAAGGAGGTATACAGAGAAGCCACCTAGGTTAGTCAAAGGAGTTAAGAATTGACATTTAGACTGAACCTTTGCTAAGAGATGACACTGGTGAGGAGGGAAGGAGGCTGTCCCAGTACCTGTGAGGGTTCTGTGACCAGAAGGGAAGGTGCTGTGCATATGAGGACTAAATACACACAGAAACACACAGTATGACTGAAGCATGATGAGCTAGAGCAAGGGACCTGAGATGAGGCAAGAACATATAAGCAGAATAGAAGAGGCAACAGGGAAGTGTTTTCATAAGAGAAAGGAAGGATCTGATTTGATTTTGAGGACAAACACTCTGGATGGTGATTAGGATGAAAGCAGTTCAGCAATTCCAGGCACTTGAGCTTGAGTGTGGGCAGTGAAGGCGTAAATGAGATTTTATAGATCTTGTTATTTTTGAGTCAGTAAACAAATTGGGCATCATCTATGAGCCAAGCACTATGTCAGATCCTAAGGATATTTAAGGTCTAACGGGGAAGAGGGTTGCTAAAGAAATAATTATAGCAATAAATATGCATTTAATAACTAGGATGCACACCAAAGGAAAACAATAGGGTGATAAGAGAAAGCAACAGAGTTAAGTTTTGGTGATTAGAAGAACACATTTTGTATGTCAAACCAATAAGTTCTCACTACTCTATAAGGTCTTATCATAAATAAATGAATATTTATTAGATGCAACCTGTGATGGTTAACTTTATGTGTCAACTTGACTGGGTTATGGTGCTGAGTTGTTTGGTCAAACACTAATCTAAATGTTGCTGTGAGAGTATTTTTTAGATGCTATTAGCATTTTTAAAAAGTAGACTTCGAGTAGTGTTAACATTTAAATCTGGGTGAGCCAAATCCAATCAATTGAATGCCTTAAAATACTAAAGTTTCCCTAAGAATAAGAAATTCTCCTCCACACTACAACATAAAAATTATGCTTCACTTTTCAACCTGCTATCCTACAAAAGTAGGAATCAAACTGTAATGTCAATTCTCATCTGAATTTTGCATCAACTCATATCTGAATTTCTAACCAGCCCTACAAATAGACTTGTTAGTACCCACAATCAAGTGAACCAATTCCTTGTACTCTCTTTCTCTCTCTGTCTCTCAAACACATATAAATGTGCCATGCAATGTGTATATACATCATATACAGATATACATGCATTATATAATATGTATATATGTTAGAGGGAGAGAGAAAAAGAGATTTTAATGATCATTCCTCTTAGGAGAACTCTGACTAATCCATAAACTATTTTACCTATATCAAATCACATGTGAAATTGGGAAAAAATAAAATATTACATACTTACTACACAGCAGTGCTGAAATTCATATTCTATAGTAAGTAAAAGGCATGAACCAGGAATAATGATAAAGCAATCTGAACTCTTAAATGTAGTAGCTGCAAAGGTCTGAATACCAGGCAAAGAGGGGGAAAAAAGCCATCATGTACTGCAGATTTAAGATTGAGGACTTATCCTGTGGGACTGGGGAGATGAGGGCACTTAGCCAAGCTCTCTCTCTCCATATTTGCATCTCTTATTTCTTCCACTCTCTTCCCATTTCAACTCCAAAAACAATGGTTAACATCACTGAGATGTTTCTTATTTTGCCACCAGTTGCTCAATGAGACTGAACTGCGAAACTGGCAAATAAAAAGTCTTTGGTCAATGGCTGTGTCTCTACACTGAGTGAATGAACTCACCAATGGAAGTCATTATCAGAAGAAATCCAAAGTTACAGAGTGCTTGATCCCAACTTGACCATGTCCCCTTTTAAATATGCATTGTAATATTACTCTATTATCATAGTATATATTACTTACACATTACATTAGTACATATAACACATGTTACAATATTACTGGAAACAAGACCCTTTAAATAGATTTCCAAAAACTAATGTTCACTGGTGAAACTAGCAGTTCAATTTAAAGCCAATTTGTCATAATAGTAGTTTATGAAAAGTCAGATTAAGACCCTGAGAAAGTAAGCACATCGCAAAATAACCTTAGCAGAGAGACACTATTATATACCCCCAAAATATTTTCAAAAATTTGATGTAAAATTATGTTTGATAATGGAATGTTAGAAAATGCAGTTACCCTATGATGAATATTATTTAATCATCACAGGTCTAGCTTCTGGTCACATTCAGTTTACTGGTTAACTGTTTGTATATTATTCACTGTTTTTGAACATATATGTATCACATATTTGTGTATGAGATAAGTGTTGAAAATATAGAAACTAATAACCAAGACACATAGAAGCACTTCTCACATGGAGTTTCCATTGTATTCTCTCTTCTTGATACCATATGCAGAAAGGAGCTTAGCTATTAGGAGTATGCACTTTAGACTTTTGTTTACAAAAACATTCTAGAAGGTGGTAGAAAGTATAGCAAATTGATCTTTTACCAGTCACATTACATTTTATTTATATCATATGAATATACAGAGTGCCAGGAACACAAGATATAAATGATCTTATTAAAAAAATCTAGGAGACTGGAGAATAACTTTTTTCCAACCACAATAGTCCTGCCTATTTTAAGAGAAAAAGAAATCTAAAGTGTTCAATTTGTCCTAATGACAAGGAACATATAAACTTTCTTTTAATATATAGCATAAATGAAGCTTCCAGTTACAAAAGAACTTCAGAGAGAAGAAGCAAAAGAAAAATACCGAGGAAGAAATGAGAAGACAAAATGGGAAGCCAAAGAGAAGAAAAAGTAGGAAGGCAGTTAGAAGTGGAGAAGCAATCATGAAGCAAAAACTACCAAGAAGGCACTCCTTCGAAAGAAGACGGCCAAGTGGGGACCAAGGTAAGGTTCAAATTTTACCTACACAACAACCATTTGTATATCTGACCGTGAATTGTACCCCACAATGTTAACAAAATGAACCAAATAAAAAGAAAGAAGACTTGAGGCGGAATCCTCATCTGGGGAGAGGGCCAACTTCTCCCCCCAACCCACAGTAGCACAGATTAGACTGTGGGCACAGGCAGAGAAAAGGTTGCCTGCTCTAAAATGAGGAGACCCCGAAGTTGGTCACAGAATTTGGGCTATAATAGCTGACTAGCAAAGGGGGAAAGGTGACAAGAGTATTTTATTTTATGAAACATAATTGTCTGTAGTCAGAGCCATCCTTTATTTATTCAGCATATGAAATTGTCACCTTTCCTAAATTAGAGAATCCTTACATTACAAACATTCCACCAAATATAATTGTATATTGTGATCTCTAAGACAATAAAACAGACTTCAAGTGGTAATTAAATCGACATCCCTTCTCAGAAGTCACTAGAATTGTCTCTCACTCCTCAAATGTGTTTGGGCAAGTAAAAGGCTGAGATTTTCCAGTTTCAAATTCACCCTGATTTTGGAGCTACTGGTAAAAACTGGCCCTGAGTCTAAGTCCTTGTCTTATCTTGCACATAGGTCTTATACTGATAACTGTGGTTTCCATATCATTGAAATATAAGTTATTGAGAGATATGGAAAATAATCTTTGCACTGTGCTTGAGTTCTTTTCATGAGAATTCACTCCAGTCTTTTGTTAAAAAGTACAGATTCAGTGACTGGTACCCAATGGTGAGACATAATCTTCTGGATTGCTAATGATTCTAAGTAACACTTGTCACTGTCACTATCTCATTGACAACCTTTACAACAACCTTAGAGCATCTTGTAAACTGCAAAATATGCCTAAGAGCATGCACCAAGGAGCAATTGTGAATTATTTTACAACTGAAACTAGAGTCAAGATTATAGAAGAGAAAATTGTTATCATATCACAGTACTCAAGTGGTTCAAAACTTAGGTGGTGGTTCCATACATTCGATGAAAGGAATTCACTCGTCACAGTGTATAGAAATTCCACATGCGATATGCAATTTATAGAAGAATGCCCATTTGAAATTCTAAGAGCAGAGACACATTTTTAAAGTGATGATGTGCTTCAGATCTGCAACACGGGCCTTATGATGGCACCAGACTGCTCACAGTACCATCACATGAAAGCAGATTGTTCCTTCTTTCATCTGACCAGCTTGTTGTCCTTGATCAGAAATTACCTTCACTGCCCATCATGTTGTTAGCGGTTAAAACTTACCATTTAAATTGTAAGCTGCAAAATCTAAACGGAACTGCATGTGTGATCTTTGTCACCTCATTTTCATGAATGGAAAAGAATATTCTGACACAAAAATTACATACTTAATTCTAGCTCACCTTCTCTGCTGACCTCCATCCCACACTGCCTTGGGTTTATTTCCTCATCCATCAGTGGGTCAAAGTAATTTCTGCTGTATTCATTTCCTGTGGAAAGTACACGAGGTAAGGGTCAGTGATTATTAGAAGCACATGAACCAAAATGTTAATTTTGAAATCGACACCAGCACAGAAGGACCATTTTAGCTGTTTTATAAGCTTAATTTTTTTACAAGTCTTCCAGGCCTCCCTTTTTTGTAATTATCATCTTGCAAAAGGTCAGAAAAGGTAATTCAAGAAACAAGTTCATGCTATCTTTCTGTTGCTAAAAAGTTAATGAGAAAATTATCAAATGAAGACTTCAGAATGATAACAAAAAAAACCTAAGCCAAACTATTTTTATGATATACTCAAGAAATGGACGTGTTTGGATTATAATCGTATGTAGAGTTCGCGGATGATTGTATTTACTCATTTGTATTTTACTAACTATATCATGCTGTTGTGTTCAGAAATCTGTAGCCGACATAGTACTGTCTTAATTGTGACCAACTGGCAAAATTTCTATGTTGATAGTTGAATGAGGAGAAAGAAAGAGAGAAAGGGAGGGAAGGAGGAAGGAAGAGAAAAGAAAAAAGTCTACTTGTAAGTCTTTGTAAATGTCAACTTGAATACCATGAAGGGAAGAAACAAATGATTTAGCCAGAAATTTTATTCACCACACATCAACAATCTCAGCAGTGCCCACAAAATATCTCACTTCAAATTTTCCACTCACTCTGTCCTTATCTCCACAACCAAACTGTAGCATCAGGTATGACTTTGTAATAGAGAAAAAGGTCTGCTATCAATTTTCCAAATCTAGTTTCATACTTCCTGCAAACTGAAATGTATATGTCTGTTGCTAGCAATTTGCATCAGCAAAATGTAACCTACTCTGATGGTAATTCAAGTTGCCTCAAACATTGCAAAAGAAATAAAGCATTGTAGAGTAAAAACAAGATTGAAAGTATAGCTCACAGGGAAGGGTTAATACATACCAGGTATACTGCAATATTCCTTAGTATATTTGTTTTAGGATCAAAAGTAATCCAAACAGAAGCTCCCGTTGCAAGGCTAAATGAAATTTTGATGTGAACCTAGGTTTAATTTCTATTTCTGGACTGACACAGTTTTACTGTCAGTCTCTGTTCTATCAATGTAGTAAGTATAAGAACTGAAAATCTGCTTTACCTTGAGTTCTCAATAAAGAAAAAACAAATGAGTTTCATTTTTGTTACTTTGTCAACAACTACCAGGCTGGTTTGAATGTTGGCAGCATGTAATCAAAGTCTTATGTGCTGCAATAACAGTATCATTCCTCATTCACTATAATTGTGTTTTCTACTACAGAGCACTGTGATACTCTAAGTACACTCTTCCATATGTTGGCAAAATAATTCACCTATATTAGAGCAAAGACAGTGGCATATTCCTTATTCCATTGCCACAGCAGTGTCAATCAACTATTGGTACCGATACCCAGTACAAAACTCAAGTTCTTTGCCACCGTAATAACCGATTACTAAATTTTATTACCAAGATGATGAAGACAGTGAAAAAAGAAAAAGTTGTCATCCAAAAGTCCGGAGTAGTGTACTTGGCATTTAGGTTCTGAAGCCATTTGCATCCTTATTGTCACTTAAGATATAGGGTCTTGTTAAGATAAGATATGGGGTCTTGTTCAGCCACACATGACCAAGCCTGCATGGTGCGAACCTTCTAGATGTCTAAGTCTCCTTCCAGGGCTTGACGCTTCCACACACAACTGGAAGATGAGCTCCTATTCATGTGGGTTGATGTACACATGATAAGCTACAAATGCCACTCCTTAAGTGATTTGTTTGTGTTTCCAATTCTGGGATCCTGCACACAGCATTTTACAAGGAAAGAATTCTGAGCAAAGAGACAGTCCTTGATGTTCTTAGTCCTGATTCCTTAAACATTTTCAAGTTCTATAATATATTGTATAGCTATAGAATTTATGTATTTTAATAATTTATACACATCACATATATTTTGTATTCTGTCATGTATTATTTTATAAATATAGTATTCTTTCTGTCTGTCTCCTTCACTAAACTATAAGCTCCTTGCAAGCAAAGACATCACCTCTTTGATCCCTGTAACACCTTCAGTACCTAGAATAGGCATACAGAGGGCCTCCTAATATAATCTGAATTCCTTCATTAAATAAAGCATTTTTGGAAAACGGTTGTATATACCTTTATCTTTTCATTGACCGGATGTTCTTTCTTGATTAAATTGAGTAACAGGTTATTGTCTTTCATCCCCTTTTATTTCCTTTTGCTTTCTATTTCCCTTTTGCCCTCTCATCTCCATCAGGACCCTCTGCCTTTTGTTTTTAATAGGGTGCCTTCTAGGAACCAAGCACTAGATTTTAAAAACCAAAGAAAAATAAAACTATGACCTCTGCTTTCAGAGCAAGGGATAACAAGGAAGCTAAACATATACAATCTGGTATGATTTAATATTTTGGTAAAGGGTGGTTTGACATTGTAATAAAGGATGGAGTTCTGTTTGAGCATATAGGAGAAGCAAAATCATAATCTGGGGGCTTCCAGAAAAACTTCCTGGAAAAAGTATTGCCAGAAGTAAATTTTGGAAATGTGAGTAGAAATTAGCCAAGTCAAAGATAGAGAAGAAATAAATTTTTGACAGGAGGGGAAGTCTGGGCAAAAGAAAAAACACAAGGGCATAAAGGCACCAGAAGCACACATTTTGGGGGGTGTTCCTTAATTTTTCTCAAGCTACAACTTAGCAAAATGAATAATAGAATTCAAATATCTTCACTAGCCCCAGAATCTAGTTGAACTCATGTTTTTGCTCAAATTATTGGTATATTGTACTATGTCGCCTTATGAAGTTTCGTATCCATTCATTCATTCAATCAACACTTACCAAGTACTTATTATGTTACTATATCAGTAAAATAAAATACTCAAAAATATCTCTCCTCATAGTGCTTACATTCTGTAAATAGAAGAATAAACACAATAATTATCTATTTTTTGTAATTTATTAGATGATGATAATGATATGAGGAAAAATAGAGCTAGCCAAAGATGATCAGAACCCCAAGAAGAGGTGGAGCCTGAATCTTCTGCATATACCATGCTCTCCAGACAATTGAGATAGTAGAGCAATATCGTGTTTATCATTATTTATTATGTATAAGTTATTATTTTGCCAATATCTTGTTATGGTGTAGATGACCTATAAATCAAATAAGAACTCACCATAAAATATAAAAATGATTATTTCTTTCTATTGGTATTTCTTGCCATAAGCCAATAATTTAAACACAACAGACAGAGTATAGGATGGTAAAACACATGCTATTATAAATTTGGAAACAATGGACTTCATCTTGACACTAGCTCCCTTTGCTCATGTTTCATTGGGTTGTGTCAAGATTTAATAGAGTGGGATGGTTTTAGGATAGGGTGTATATTACCAGAAGGTAGATTACTAATAGGATAAATTCCTAAAAGTGTCCTAATCATTCAGCGTATGCTTTTGGATATATCTAAAATCATCTCACAGGAAAATTAACAGACCCACTGAGAAATTCAAAGTAGGGCATTTAGCAATACAAATACAAAAGCTTTTGATATGGATGATATTTAACTCTTTGTGATATTCAGATGACTAGTATGGCAATCATATATGCTTACATAAATATACATATATACATATTTATGTTGGAGTGTGATTCCTCATTGAAGCAATCAGATGTGATCCATAAACCAATAAATCAGTAAATTGGTCTTGTCAATATTCTTTTTACTCTACTTTTACTTCCAACTTCCTTGCATTAGCTGCTCAATGTTTAGAATTAGCATCAGTTAATGCATTGCTTGTGCTATCTCTTTTTTTTTTTTTTTTTTTTTTTTTGAGTTGGAGTCTCACTCGGTCATCCAGACTGGAGTGCAGTGGCCGCTCCCAGCCACCGCAACCTCACCTGCTGGGCTCTGGCGATTCTGCCACCTCAGACTTCCGAGGAGCCGGAATTACAGGCACACGCTACCATGCCCAGCTGATTTTTTGATTTATTGTAGAGATGAGGTCTCGCTGCCCAGGCGGGTCTCGAGCCCGCGGGCTCAGGCAGTCCCCTCCCCTCAGCCTCCCAAAGGCGCGGGATTACAGGCTGAGCCACCAAGCCCGGCTCCTGTGCTGCCTTTCACTGAATTTGGGGAGCAAACTACATGCACTTGCCTCTTGCCCTTCTACACATATCAGGTTTTCCTATCATTTAACTCAGAGCAGCAGGGAACATAATCAGGGCTTTTACTTAAATTACACCATACATGAACTTTGGTCAGGAAACCCTCCAGTGGGCACCCATGCAGTTCCTTGGGGGCTATAAGAGTGAGAATGAAATTGCCCACTAGAGGTTAGTACAAATCATCGACGTGTCTTGACTAAACGAGGCAATCACTTCCTTTCAAATCAGCTACATTATCTAGAGAGGAAGAACATTTGAAAGCATCTATCTGTTCCTCGGGAGGTTTTTTTTATTGGTCCCATTCTTGTCCTTTTCTTGTAAATTCACCTGTTTCAGCTCAGCTTTTTCTCACCAATTGCTATATTTACTATGATATACTATAAATTAAATAAACAGAAGGCCTTCATGTAGATAAAATACCTTAACAATTTTTATTCTAAGATTACAATCATGCCCCAAAATTTTACAAAATAATATAGTCTCCTTAACATTACTTCTTTTGAAGCCTGGAAACCTAGACATCTAAAATTAAATCCAATTCCTGAGAACATTATAAATAAATTTGGGAAAATGTCCTATTTTTCCTACTTTAAAAAAACAATAACAAAAATAACAAACATCTCAAGTTCAAATGTCCATGAGGCCAGATAGGTTACATAAATATATGAAACATAAATATGAAAATCAGACGACTGCTTTAGATTATAGTGTAGTGGAAACTATGTCAAACCCACATATACAATGCCATACTAAATCTATTCAAATATTATTTTATAAGGTTGATTTAAAAATATTTTAAATAATTTACAACTTTTAAAGT